CACATTTTCACCTGAAATTTCAGGTTGATTGGACTTCTAATTGACTAAAAAAACCTAACGTTAGTCATTAATTAATCTCCTCTCTTTAAAAACCATCATCACCATCATTGCCACACTCATAATTCTAAAACCGTCGAATTTCTTCTTCTCTCTATTCTTCTCACTTCCAAAATCCCAATTCAAAAATCCTTTTTCAGAATTAGCAAGATGTCTAACCCTCAAGATAACCCAGGTACTCCTCCACAACCTACCACCTCTGATTCCTCCACACCTCCTCAACCCAGCACTACCCCATCCTAGGAGAAGGCGAGTAAAGATGCTTGCTCACAAAACTGTGGCTACAGGTGCGCTTTCAAAGAAACTGAATGCACAATTGAAGGCTAGCCAAGCCCAAGACTCTGAAAACTCAGATGATTCCTTCAAATCTGCGAGTGAGGGGGAAGGAACTGGGTCTTCTGATTTTGAGAAGGCTCAAAATCCCCCTTCTGAGGCACGCTCCGTTTTGGTTGAAAATTTAGATAATAGGTTTTGTTCTGGTTGGGTCTGTTATGAATGTCGAAACACCTGAGTCAAGAAGGAGAGGAGGTAAAAATAAAAGCTAAAAAGAAAAGGAGAGTGAGGGTGTAAGTAGTGATGTGAGGGGAAGAGGGATAGAAGTGGTCGATTCCTCACCCACTTCTGAAATGGTTAGACCGACTATCTGTGGGGCTGACCATGAAACTGTGGAAGAGAGTAGCAAGAAAATAGGGGGAAGTGGATCAGGGGAGGCTGCTGAAGGGCTGGTTAATCTAAGTTCACATGCAGATGAGCCCGGTTCATCTATTGAGGAGGCCCTAGCAGACCTTCTGAAGAAAGTGGGTGCAAGCTATAATCCAAACAAAAGGAGAAACCCTACACCAAAAGCTCCAAGCACTGCATAAACTACCAAGAAAATAAAGGCTTCTTCTCCAACAACTGCTGAGATTTCTCTACCAAAAGGAAGGGCCACAAGGAGTAAGTTGAAGCAGAGTGAGGAGGAGTTACAAAAAGCTATGGCTGAAAGCAAAAAGAAGAGAATGGACAAAGGAAAAGCTAAGGTTGCAGAACCTACTAAGGTTGTTGATGTGGCTGAGATGGAACAGGTCCATCAAGATGAACATGTGACTGTGAATGAGGAGGTTCAGACCCCTAAGCCAAAGAAAACCAAGACTTCTTCCAAGAAGTCTTCATCTGTTTCCAGGGCTGCTGAACCTTCTTCCTTGGCTAAAAGAACAAGGTCTACTGTGAAAGCCAAGCAAGTGAAGATTACTGAAGATGAATATTGGAGTGATGAAGAAGAGGGTGAATCTGACCAGGAACAAGATAAGCTGGCCAAGTTTGGCAAAAGAAAAATCTTGAAGGTTAGACTTTTGAAGGATTTGGTAGAACCAGGGATGGTTCGATTGGTTGATGCTCTAGCTACTCAGGGCTGGAAGGACATGGTCCTTCAGTTGGATGGTAGGCTAGCAAGGAATGAGATCATTGAATTCATGGAAAACGCAGAGGTCAAGGATGGCAGAGTTACCAGCTAGGTGAAATGAGTTCAAGTGACCTTTGATGCAAAGGAGCTGGGTGAGATCCTTGACATTCCTTCTGAAGGGTATGATGACTACACAAGGCAAAGATGACCAAGTCTGGACTCCCTTCCTACTGCCCTCGCAATCACCAGGAAATTCAATGATGTCACAGAAGTGAATAAGGCCAAGGTTGTGCATAAGAGTGAAATGAAGCCCTGCACAAAGTCCTGTTTGAATTTGTCAATAAGTGCTTACTGCCTAGGCAGGAAAGAAGGCACATTGCTAACTATATGGACTTGGTTTTGATGGAGTGTCTTGAAAGTGGAAGGCAGATCAACTAGCCTGCATTTATTATCAAGCTACTGGACAGGGTTATAAATGGCTCCAAGGCCCATGCCACTCCTTATGGGTTTATTCTGACTACTGTTCTGGATTGTTGTAAGGTGCCACTGAAGAAGTGGGAGATGGCCACAAACAAAGACCATTTTGGAATCAACACTTTGATTGCTTGTGACTATGAGGTCGCTGCCATTCCCAATGAACCTGGTTCATTTAACAAGACACCGATAAATAGCAAAGTCAGAGCTTTGGTGCAGGAGAGTAGGGCAAAGGATGCTGAGATAGCTAGGCTGAAGGCTCGTTTAGCAGAGGTGGAATCTGAGAGAGATGCTCTCAGAACTAAGCTCACAAAGGAAAAGGAGAAGAATGATGGCATTCTTCAAAATATGCTGCACCTTCTCCAAGCCAAAACCCAACCCTCCAGCTCTTCCAAACCTTAAGATCTTTGGCCTTCATTTCCTGAACCTTGTCTAGACCTTTCAGTGACCCAGATTAGGGGTTTTTTTTGTTTTGCTCATGTTTTGATTATTTTTGTTTCTTTTTGTGGATTGTGGTAGAATCATATTCCCTATCAATGAAGTTTACTGTTTTTGCTCTTGTTGACTGTTTATTTTTCCCTGATAGTTTGAATATACTTGGTGATTACTGATGATTAATCCATGGTTGCACTTGCAGTTGCCCCAATGGCCATGAGTAATTGTTAAAATTCTGGGAATCACACTGTGTTTATGCAACTTTTCGATGATGCTGAAAGGGGGAAGAGATATTGTGCTTTATATTCTGAATAAGTGATGTTTATAACCTAATGAACCTGGTCCATGATGATAAGTAAAAATTTTCTAACTTTGGGAATAAGCTGAGTTCTAACAGGACTTAAGTGAGTGAAAAGCACAGAGTTTGTCATCAACAAAAAAGGGAAATTTGTTGGCCCAAGTAAAGGGCTTAAGTGAGTGAAAAGCACACAGTTTGTCATCATAAAAAAGGGGGAATTTGTTGGCCCAAGTAAAGGTGAGTTTTGAAGACTGACAAAGGAACTCAGACATGGACCAAGTCCATCCTAGTTAGGGATGGCAATGGGGCGGTGCGGGTGCGGGGCGGGGCGGGTTTGAGATTTTGCGGTTGCGGGGCGGGCGGCGGTTCAAGTTTTTAATTTTAAAAAAACGTAGCGGGTGCGGGTGCGGGTGCGGGTGCGGGTGCGGGTGGGGATTTAATAATTTTAAACTAATAGAGAGATCTTTATAAAGTCTTTTCTTCTATTTGAATTATATGTAGTTCATGTAATAGAATTTTGTCATAAAAATTATGCATTTACAAAAATAACATTTTAGTAACTTTATTATTTTTAATGGTGCTATTTTTTTAAAGCAAATTAAAGGCAAAATCACTAGATTTAGAGGCAAATATGGATTAAAACATTTGGATGTATATGTTTTGTTAAAAATCAGATTAAGTCTAGACTTTCTAAAAGAAAATTTTTATTAATAAAAAAAATTGCGGGTGCGGGGCGGGGCGGGTGAACGCGGGTGGAGTGCGGGGCGGGTGAATGCGGGTTTAAATTCTATGCGGTGCGGTGCGGGACGGGTTTAAATTTTGCGGGTTCAGACAGAACCCGCCCCGCACCGCGCCGCCTGCCATTCCTAATCCTAGTGAGGCACAGATATGGTCAACTCAAGCATGTGAGATGCACGTGAAGGAGATAAACCTAACTTACCAGAAGTAATATCTCCTGATCATGATCGAAAAGGTTGCATATTGGATAAGGAGAAAGACTCCTTACACAAACAGAACACTACTTAAGAGACAGATAGAGTTAGAGGATGAGTTCAACTAGAACTCTTCCACCATGGAAGACTAGCATCAGAATTCTAGTCAATCTCTATTTACTAACTCCATAAATATCAGTGTTATTCTCTTTTACAGGTAACGCACATAAGCAGAAGTAAAACGTAAATTGAGAGCAAAATAGCTAGGAAATTTGCAAGCAATTTGTGTGTGATTCAAGCGTGCAAACCTGAAGCTACTTGAACCAGATAGAAGAACCAGTTCCAAGTGTCTGTCTTTTATTCTAGTTCAATTGTAGTAGGTGATTTTCATATTGTACCTTTCAACTTATCTAGAAACAATAGTATTAGGTACTCAGAGTTTTCAAGTTAGAGTTAACTTGAAGTTGTCGCAACAGTTGAGGCTGTGTGCTACAACGGGATTAGAGTTAATCCTAGGTTTATAAAAGAGTTTTTGTAAATGCAGTTCTTGGCTCAGTGATTTTAGTGGAGAGTTTGGGAAAATCCTACTGGAAAGTAGGTCGTGGTTTTTTCACCTTTTGAGCCAGGTGTTTTCCACGTAAAATCTTTGTGCTCTTTAATTTCTGTACTTATTATTTCACAATAGTAGTAGTTGGAACACATAGAAGAATCAGATCCTTCTATAATCAAATTAAGCGAAAAATTGGATACCATACAAATCACCCCCTTCTTATGTGGTATTGAAGTATAAAACATCAATTCCCTTCCATCTGCCTCTGGTATTCAAACTATTTAACAAAAATTATACATTGGTGTGTACCAAGGCGTAAACATGAAGAAAAGTGACAAAAGCTACTTTGGTCAATATTCATTCAAAAAAAGAAGTTAGGTCCAACCCCACCAAAAAAAGAAGACGGATGAAGCAATAATAAGAAAAGGATGTGCTCACATACTTCCTCCTCGACTCCTGTTCCCACTAATTTCCACTTCTTTACTTATTCCTATATCATATTATTAGAAGAATTCATATGAATCTATTTAGTCGGGAACAAAATTTAAGAAAGAAATAAAAATTTCTAAAATATGTAATCTCAAGTGTATCGTAATATTGTGTGCCTATAAAATTTTTAAAAATTGTAGTTATAAACTTATCATAATATATATGTGGCTATAAAAAATTTATATTAAGGTGAAACGAGAAGTTAAAAATAAATTATTTCTGAATTTTAAAAAGACCATTTATTTTTTGAATAAACTAAAAAAAAAGGTTTACATGACAAAAAAAATTATATATTCGTAAATTATTTAAATATTTCCAATAAATCACCTAGTCATTTGTCTTTTTCTGTTTTCCTTCACCTCAAACGCCTATAAATACTCTTTCAAATTATCCTTCCTTCTCCATTCTGTATAGTAGATTATAGAGAAAAGAGGGAAAGATAAGAAAAAGAGATGGAGACCTTCCCAGTTGTTGACATGGAGATGCTTAACACTGAACAAAGGGCTGCAACTATGGAGAAATTAAATGATGCTTGTGAAAATTGGGGCTTTCTTGAGGTAATATTTTACTATATATTTAATTTATATACATTAATAGTGTATTTTTTTTTTACATTCTTAGTTTTTTATTATATTGTAGCAAGTAATTTAATATATTTTTGGTTATTAATCTCACTTTTTAAAAACACAGTTGCATGTAGTTATCTTTTGGTAACTTGTTAGTATAAATATTATTATACACATTTAGTGTGTGTATATATATATATATATATATATATATATATATATATATATATATATATATATATATATATATTCAAATTTAGTATATGATTTTAATTTCTCTAAAGTTTAAAGTTCAAACGGAAGGTGTTAAAGCAACAGTAAAGTTGTCTCTGTATGACGTATAGGTCACGGGTTCGAATCGTGGAATCAGCTATAGATTGCATCAGGATAGGTTGCCTATATCACATCCTTTTGGGTGTGGCCCTTCCCCATACTATATGTGAACGCGAGATGCTTCATGCATAAAGTTTAGTACATTAACACTATAGATTTTCTACACCATATAAGGTATAATTGATCTACTATTATCAATAACTCTTCATATCAAAGCTGATATAGAACCTGAAAAATAGAGTGAGAACTTGCTATAATCAATTAAGTATAAGGGCAGATTTACTGGCCAAAATATGATGAATAAACTATGTATTTTATGTACATATTTTCTAGAATTGATCGATCTAATATTATCTGTCGGTTCCCATGCTTCAAAAAGGTTGAATGATGCACTTGGTTGAATGTTGAGTTATTTACATAAAGAAACATGGACCGCTTTCCATTTAATACTTTCTTTTTCTCTTTTCTTTAGAAGCAGACGCATGTTCTAGTAATCCTAGATTTGCCCATTAATTAAGTCGCAATAATTATATATTATGTTGTCTGTTGTGATACATAAAATTAAAGTTGGTGAATCATGGGATATCTCATGAGCTTATGGACAATGTGGAGAAGCTAACAAAGGAACATTACAAGAAGTGTATGGAACAAAAATTCAAAGAAATGGTGGCAAACAAAGGACTTGAGGCTGTTCAGACTGAGATTGATGATTTGGATTGGGAAAGTACTTTCTTTTTGAAACATCTTCCTGTTTCAAACATCTCAGATGTTCCTGATCTTGATGATGATTACAGGTCAAAACATTTCCATATTTGTTCTTTATTTAACATTCCATTTCATCACCAAATTATAGTTTTTGACACAAGTAGAAACTATGCTCCAAATACTGGAATATGTTGGGTTATTTTCTTGTATGATTATTGAAATTACCCACTATAATAATAAAATCATGAAACTATATATACTCCCTCCGTCTATTTTGTTTGACGTATTTCAGGTTTCGAGAGTCAAATGGTTTTTTTTAGCCATTTCGTATGTCTTTTTAACTATTTTGAATTATTAATTAATATGACTTATGGTACTTTTGCTAGTTTCCAAATATATAAATTTTTATTAAATATTTTATATTCAAGTTTGCGGTCAAAATTGAGAAGTTTACTCTCAAAATTCTAAATATATCAAATAAATTGAGACAAAGGAAGTATATTTTTGTCACTATAAAATAACTAAACTACGTGTATATTGCTCAATAATATAATTAATGGACGGCCGTCAAATTTTCAGCACCAAATGACATACCACTCACACAATTATGTCATACCACTAACACGTGAAATTGAATCCCCTTAGCTTCTTCATATGTCTATTTCTTTATATTTTGAACTCCCTTAATGAAAATTCTAACTTCAGTACAGACCAGAACTTATGGTGACATAACTCAGCTTGTTTTACTAAATTTTACCTTGGACATAATTATAGGAAGGTCATGAAAGAATTTGCAGAAAAGCTAGAGAAACTAGCAGAGGATCTTTTGGACTTGCTATGTGAGAACCTTGGCCTTGAACAAGGTTATCTAAAGAAAGCTTTCTATGGTACAAAAGGTCCAACGTTTGGAACAAAGGTAGCCAATTACCCACCATGTCCAAAACCAGAACTAATTAAGGGTCTAAGGGCTCACACAGATGCAGGTGGAATCATACTTTTATTCCAAGATGACAAAGTCAGTGGACTACAGCTCCTAAAAGATGGTAAATGGATTGATGTCCCACCAATGAGCCACTCAATTGTTGTCAACATAGGTGACCAATTAGAGGTATACTTTATTTTATTTTATTTTAGGATTCAAGTTATATACACTTAACTGATTAATTTATTTCAGTGTTGATATGATTTTACTTGTTATAGCAAATTATTTAGCATTTATCAATCAAGAATTATATTAGAGAGCTCGATAGAAAATCCAAATAGTAGTGAAGGGGATTCTAGGGAACTTTTCGAGAGTCTATTTTAAAGGCTATTCGCTACATCATTCTACTCTTTTAAGAATACCCATAGAGTATAGTATAATAATAAAATAATAAATTTAGACAAAATGCTTATTGAATAGAGTTACCTGCAATTATATTTTAAGTGATTTGATTGGATAAATATTATATATACCGTCAATTTATAGAACATAAATTCTTAATTCAATTGTCATTATGTAGTGTTTAATACATTAATATGAAATATTTATATGGTTTACTAAATTTTGTTTTTGGTTGAATGGTTGATGAAGGTGATCACAAATGGAAAATACAAGAGTGTGGAGCACAGAGTAATTGCTCGGCCAGATGGGAACAGGATGTCCATAGCATCTTTCTACAATCCAGGGAGTGATGCTGTCATTTTTCCAGCACCAGAATTGGCTGAGAAAGAAGAAAAGCAAAACAAACTAAAGTATCCCAAATTTGTGTTTGAGGACTATATGAAATTGTATGCAGCTCTTAAGTTCCAAGCCAAAGAACCAAGATTTGAAGCAATGAATAAGGCAATGGAAACAGCTGGCAACTTAGGTTCCATAGCAATTGCTTGAGAGAGTCTCAATTTCTTCCAATGGACTTCATATTTTAATCAAAAGATGGGCCAAAGAGAAACAAAAATATATAGTTAGCACGTATTTGATTAATGTTGGTAATGTGTGAAATGTAAGATGTGAATTTATTGTTCTCAAGAGGGTCTCATTGTAAAGTTTCAAAAACTATTCTCTTTTAACCTTAATAAGTAAATTTCCTTAATCTTCCCTAATGAGTGGGATTCTGCATGCCACACGTTTACCTCGTGAAAAATATCAGTACCACGTGGAATTCGGACATCCATCTAGAACAGCCCTAATGGAGGAGGATATACTTAAATCGCTTGATCATCCCTAGGGTTATCTTTCTTTTTCTTTAGTTCATAAATTAGAATTAAGTTTCTTTTCTTTTTCTATTTTTGTGAGAGTAAAAAAAGAAAGTAAACTAACACTTGGATATATTACTAAAATTCCTAAGGTTGTGAGACGGAAAGATGAAAGGGCGCCAAAAATCCCAATGGGAAAAATAGAGAACAAAGACGATCGATACAGTACTCTTGTTCAAACAGTACTTCATTTCCTTCATACAAAATTGACCAATTATTGGACTTTTTTTTAAGTTCTCCTTACATGTGATTATGCAATTTAAAAGAGAGAGAAAAGGTAAAATGAGAAATAAAAATAACAACGAATTCATGGTTGTTTCATGAAAGAATTTGCGATGATCCAAAAGGCCATCTTATGTTTTAGAACTCGATCCCGTATTCCGAGACCTTCAAAATCTCATTTTTATTCCTCCTTGATTTGCGTGCACAGTCCGGGCGCGTTTCCGAAAAGCTTTTATGTAGATAATTAATAAAAACAATAATTTTTATCTTTAAAGGTTAATTTAGTTGACTTTGGTCAACATTTTGAGTGAACAAACCCGGACTCGTGTTATGGCAGTCCCGGTGGGTCCGTATCAAAATATGGGACCTGGGCGTATGCCCGGAATCGAATTCTGAGGTCCCTAGCTTGAGAAATAAATTTTTGATGAAAAATGTAAGACTGAAAATCAAATGATTTTAAGAATTTGGTTAATGTTTGATCTTGTTGGTATCGTGCCCGTATTTTGATTTCGGAGCCCGGTACAGGTCTAAAATAATATTTATACCTTATCTGTGAAATTTGGTGAGAAATAGAACTGATTTGACGTGATTCGAACGTTCGGTTTGTGAAAATAGGAATTTCAAAGTGTTCTTAGGAATTTCATGTATTTTAGTGCTAAATTTGTAGCTCTAGATGATATTTTGGCGATTTGATCGCACGAGCAAGTTCATATGATGTTTTACGACTTGTGTGCATGTTTGGTTTGGAGCCCCGAGGGCTCGGGTGAGTTTCAGATAGGCTACAGAGTTAATTGAAACTTAGAAAAATTGCTGGTGTTCTTCAGCTATGTTGCAGGCCTCAGACCTCGCAAATGCGAGGTCAAGCTTCGCATTTGCGACTACTATCGAGGTCGCATTACGAGCTTCTCATCGCAAATGCGAAGCGAAGCTGGGCCAGCCTATATTCGCAAATGCGAACAATCCTTCGCATTTGTGAAGTTGGTCTGGGGAAGGGGTTCTTCGCATTTGCGAAGAAGGTGGTCGCAATTGCGATCCCGGCTCCGCATCTGCGAACAGTATGTTCGCATTTGCGACAGAAGCAGAAATGCGACAGGTTCGCATTTGCGATGCCTTTCTCGCATTTGCGAGCTTCGCAATTGCGAAGCTCAGGTCGCAAATGCGACATCTGCAGCTGTGTAAAAGGGACTTAGACGGGATTTTTGCTCATTTTTCAAATCTTTCAAAATAAGAAACCCTCTAGGCGATTTTCCAAAGACCATTTCTTTTCCAAATCATAGGTAAGTGATTCTTAACTCGTTTCTTTCAATCTTTCACTTTATTTTACAAGACTTCAACCTAGAATCTAAGATTTTCATGGTGGAATTGGGGGTTTTTTGGGTAGAAACTAGGGATTTCAAAATTTGGGGATTTAGACCTCAAATTGAGGTCGGATTTCAAAACTAATTGTATATTCGGGCTCGGAGGTGAATGGGTAATCGGGTTTTGGTCCGAATTTCGGGTTTGGACCAAGCGGGCCCGGGTGTTGACTTTTGTTGACTTTTTCAAAAATGGTCTAAATTGAATTCCTTGCAATCGTGGGTAGTTCCTAAGGCTTAAATTGAGCTGTTTGGTTGGTAAATTGCTAGATTCTATTGGTCCGGAGGCTTGTGTGAAGGGAAAAGCGGTGATTGAGCTTTTAGTCTGGCAGTGGGAGCGAGGTAAGTGTCGTGGCTAACCTTAGCTTGAGGGATTAGGTGTTATTTGCTTACTTTTTGCGTGTTTGGTTGTTGAGTACAACGTATAGGTGAGGTGACGAGTATCTATACGTTGTTGTCGAGTCATAGCATGTGAGTGAGTCTTATTTTTGTAAATGTTGTATTTTTTATCATATTGTTCATGTTTAGACTAGCTATTCGATGTATTGAGCAATTTCTTATCATGTTTTATTGAATTTGGTATTGATTGAGCATGTACTCAAAGTTGAGATTGGTATTGTGGGACTAAGTGTTGAAGTAAGACTTATTGTTGTCACTTCTATTTCCTTATTATTGTTTTCTCTTATTTGGTGAGGATGAGTGATAAAGCACGAAGGGTGATGCCGTACACGTTTTTATTATCTACATGGAGAGGTTGAGTGATAAAGCACGAAGGGTGATGCCGTGCACGTTTCTATTATCTACAAGGTGAGGATGAGTGATAAAGCATGAAGGGTGATGCCGTGCACGTTTATATTATTTATATGGTGAGGTTGAGAGTAAAAGCACGAAGGGTGATACCGTGCATTTTTCGTTTGCTGTGTTTAGTTGTTATTACCGGTTCAAGGTGTACTAGCTGTTTAAAATTTCTCTATCGCAGTGATTCTTTATCTTGCAACCCCCTTAGCATGCTTCCCCTCCCGTTAAATTCTGCTTAGCTTCTATTAGTTGTTATTCTGCTAGTATATTGTTTAACTACACAGGTTTATGTATGTGTCTTGTCCTAGCCTCGTCACTACTTCGCCGATGTTAGGCTCGGCACTTACCACTACATGGGGTCGGTTGTATTTGTTGATACCCAATTTTTTCCTGTATATTTTCATATATACAAAATACTTTCAAAATAACATATATATGCATATATAAGCATGCCCAAGTGTTTTAGTATTTTTCCACTTTTTAAAATCAATTTATTGTCCATTTTAGCAGTATAAAAACCAATAATTATTTCCAAAACTATCATTTTTGGTGGATAATTTGTTTTATTTCCCATATTTATACCAAGATATAGTTAAGGTAATTTTTGTATATTTTTTACAAATTTATTTGGTATTTTAAAAGCTAAATTGCATATAATTGCAATTTTAGCCTATTTTAAGATTAATAGCATTTTATAATTATAAATTTGGTTTCAATATTTTTAAATTAATATTTATATATTATTTACCGACTCAGTACTTTTAATTTAATTTCAGAATCATTTTTACTATTTTTTATAAAATAAAAAGGAAAAACTGGCTATTTAACATGTAGCCCCAATTTATTTCAATTATAGCCAAATTGACCCTCCAATTGACCCAATCTTAACCCCTAATTAAACGACCCAATTTCGTTTCAACCCGACCCATTGACCCAATTTATAAACCCGCCCAGTTTCTCTTTTAATCCTGGCCGTTGATCATTTTGATCAACGGCCATGATCCGTTCCTTCCTTTTTTTTAACTCACAAACACCCCTAACCCTAAATCATTTTCACTCACCCGTCGCCTCTGAAATCCCTCTCCTCTCAAAATCTCTCGAACTCTCCCGAAACCCTAATCATCTCCCACCTGTTTCTACCATGTTTTCACCGGAATCCATGGCAGTCCAAGCCATGGGAGGCCTGTGCTCACTCTCTATCACTGTTAAACCTAAGCTACTCAAAGTTTAGAGGCCCGACTTCCACGATTTCCTTTAGATCTGTCCAAGATCTGCAAGATCTATGGCCTCTACGGCCATTTTCCGGCGTGTTCAAGGCAATATGAGTCTCTTCGACTCAGGATCTGACTTTCTCAAGACCTTTCTCGTTCTAGGGTTTTCTCTGCTTCTAAGTCATCTGAGGTTCTATACTTTCTTATTTCTTCTAAGATCTGTGACATGCCTGGTCCTTGCTTTACTTTTCAAAGGTTTTCCCCAAATTTTCTTTTGAAATCGCTCAAATCCGATTTTAGGGTTTCTGAAAAAGGATTTCTTCAGATATCTTTCCGATTCTCCTTCTTTATGTGTGTTTTGTGCTCGATTATTTTCTTTACCACGCCTGAGTTTGCTCTCTTGCCTCTTCTCTATTATGCAAGACTCTTCTATTTTTTCTCACATGATTAATTCGCATGCTTTGCTATTTGTGTGTTTATGTTTGTGTTCTCTGATTTTATTCATTTTGCTGAGTTATGTTTATGTTCTTGCTAAGCATGTTCTACCTACTTTGTTTAAGTTCGTATTATCTCTTTCTTCTGAAACTTGCTTAAATTCCAAGTTTTCTCAAGCATGACTTTGAGCTAGTGTTCTTGCTATTGTGTATGTTTGTCTGCCTTTCTGAGCCTCTCTCAATGTCCTTGTCTTCTCACCTCTGATTCTATTTGAAACCCTAAAATTTGGGGGTTTCTCTTTGGGTATATGGCACTAGGTTTTCGCTTTGGGACCCTAGATTTCCAGACTCGCTGTGAGTCTGTATTTGAAACTCGAAATCCTGTTTGCTTGTGACTCTGGAACTTTCATTGTTAGAATATCTCTTTGTTTAAGTTGTATGCTTTTTATATGAGAAAAACCCCTCTTTCTAAAAGGTTTCACCAAGAATTGATTTTGAAACCCCTTTAATCATGCCAGTGATTCACCACTGATTTCTTCCGATTGAACCCTTTTACCCTACTGGCTGTTTATTTTTTATCCTTTTGACTAATTTTCAAACTGATACCTTATTTTACTTTAATAAACACACTACTATTCCAACCTTTCCTTAATTACTCACTATGTATTTGGTCTTGTTTATGCACTATGTGGGTTCCTTGCCCTAACCAGCCTTATTAAACTGATTTTTCTTCCTTATTCTGCCTTGACTAGCCGTTTAAACTAGACTCCTCAATTAAAGGAGTCCAGTTATTCTTAATTGACACTAATTGCTTGGTTTCTATGTTT